AGAAATTATATAATTCTTATATTGAAACAAAACGATGAATATTTTAACCATTTTTTTACTTCATGGAAATATTCTATGAGTAAATTGCATGGAAATTGGAGAAGGATTTGAAGTCTTGTGTTTGGCTTAGAATTCAGCTGAATGGAAGCTTTTCATTTTCTCGTAGAAGCTGTACTAATATTGAAAATAACATTGAATTGCATTCCTGTGGCGCATTCCGTTTAATTAACAGAGTGGTATGAGAATCTCACTCAATGTTATGACGTACAATTGCTACAGATTAATTATTTGAGGTAAAAATATAAAAATATCATTCTATAGTTTTACGTTTTAGATTTACCTCATAGTTTATAATGTTTATTTTATTTCTTTTCAGGTTGTGTCTTTCATATTAGAAATGCAAAGAGCTTTCTGTGTTTGTGGGAGGATACGGAGAAAGTGAACGTTCTTCTCTAGAGTCCTTCACCTGGATCATATAATGCAATTGCAATTGCTGAACTTCTGATCAGTATTTCATAGATTTTGATATCACATCTTCATATAAAACTTGTATTAATAAGTCCAGTATTTGTTTTCGTGACAGGGATATTTACACAGGTCGGTAATGTAAAATTGTAAGCAGGGATTTTTGATGTCCCTTAGATTAGAAATATAATTCAGAATCGAAAGAGTAATAAATAAAACAGACAGGAATGCATGGCAATGTTTTCAATTCAAGAGAGAATAACATTCTTTAAAGTTTTCTGAAGTTTTCAATAATAATAAAAGCAATTTTCCAATCCTTTTTGAATAATATTAAAAATAATGAATTTTGCCCTTATCCCGACGTGACTGAAAAATGTAATTTGACTGATTAAGAACCATTTTATTTTATTTTTTACACAACTTAGATTATTTATTAGGTTGTTCGTAAAATAATGTCCGAGTTTACAAAAATCTTTTGTGTTTTAATATATTATTATTATATTAGTTGTGCAAAAATATATTTACCCATTCCTAATGATTAAAGTGTCTTGCGTAACTTTATGTCACTTTCTTTAATTTAACTTAAAACATTATATATAACTCATCTTGAAAATGCAAAAAGAAAAGATGTCTTTTTTTATTATTTTTTACCTTTTTTTTGCATGTGTTCAGGCTTGGCTATAATATTTCTAAAACTGCTGCCAATATTAACAGAGTATGGGATGAAGGATCCACTTATGATCAAACAGTACGGCGTTGGTTTCTGAAGTATGGGTATTAGTATTAAAGTGGTAGAGGATGCCCTTCTGCAATTTACAATCAATACCTTAAAACACCAGTCGAACAAAAGCCACATCAAATTGTCAGATAAATGTCTCAGTTAATGGGTGTCAGTATTTCAATAATATTGAACCATCTCAAGAAAATTGGCAATTTTTAAGAAACTCGATAAATGAGTTCCATATGAACTCAATGACAGTGAAAAAGTTCGACATTTTGAAATGCTGCACCTACGAAATTTGAATGATTCATTTCTTGATCGAATAATTTGGAAGGATCCAAACACTTTCCAAAATCGAAATTACACTAACAGAATGGTTATGGTTGATTGTCCGGTGGTCGGCCATTGGTGTTATTCATTACAGCTTTCTGGAATCTAAACAGAACATCACTGATGAAGTTTACAGTCAGCAACTGGATTAAATTCACATTCAGTTAAGCAAAATCTGACTGACATGTGTTAATCGATGACGTCTAATTTTGGTTCATGCCAATGCTTGGCCACATGTTGCTAGGATGCGAGACTTTGCCGCATCCACCATATTCCCCTGATCTCTCGCCCATTGACTAACACATTTTCATGCATCTTGACAATTTTTAAGCCAAAAGACATTCCGTTGCAAAGAAGATGCAGAACATTTCACCGTCTCCTCATGCTATTTTATGCTTTTATAGGCACATTTATCATTTCATGTAGACATTTTTTTCTTTTTAGTCGTGTGTTCGGTTTCTCTCATCATCTGATCGCACAAGATTTGATAAACTTTTCTCTCTCTACCCCCTCCCTCACTCTCTCTTTCTTTCTCTAATGATGAATCAATGTCAATAATATTTCTGAGGAATAGAACACTTAAACCAAAAAACATTTATTTGTGCTTTTATAAAGAGTTGTGTTTACATTTATCTTCGAACAATGGATATTTATTTTAGCAGAAACATTTTGCGGTTACATTTCGGCGTTTTTCATGATAAAAAATACAGATAAGAAAAACGTTTGCAGAAACGAAACACAAGCATAATAATGGAAAATGTACACACTCTCACACGCACGCATACACGAGGTAAGGATGACACTGAAATGCATATAAAATTTATATATTTAACACAGCGTAGTCTTTTACCAGTAAATAAATACTATAGATGAATGAAATAGCCAATAATTTCTATGGTTCAACAACAGAAATTTGAACTGAAAATGCAAATTTTATCTAGATAATCAAAAGTATAATTTTTAATGAATATATATATATATATATATATATATATATATATATGTGTGTGTGTGTGTGTGTGTGTGTGTGTGTGTGTGTGTGTGTGTGTGTGTGTGTTATACTTGATGTTTTCATGACACCGGAAGAAATTGCACCAAGAAGCAACAGCTCCAAAATGTTTGCGTCCACGCAATCCACGTTTTGTAATTTGCATCCAATTCCTTTCATACTTATCAATAAACATTTGAATGAAACTTATTTTAATGAGTCACATTTGGAAGGAAATTGTAATCCGGTTGTAAGTCATTTATTCGCATTAATTCGGGTTTTATAAAATTAAAAAAGTGTAATAATCATAACAAAAATCATAAATAATAAAATAATTACAAATAATAAAATACATTTAAAAAATTAAGATAACTTAAATATACAAACAATAAATAATGACTAATAAAAATAATGAAATAAATTTAATTAACTTATAATAATAATTAAACTGAAGACTACGAAAAATGTTATTGAACACAAACACCCGAAATTTAAATTTTGTGGCAGTCTTTATTTCAGTCACAACTCACGTCCTTTAAATAAATATAATAGCCAGATAAATCGACTTTTCTGTTTGATTTGAATCACTTAAACAGCTATTTCTTAAGTCTTAGCAAATTTGCGTTATTAAGAAGAAAGACTTTTTGCAAGAAAGTTTGGAATGCTGTTCGTCAAGGATGACTAAAGTTTTGATAACTCTGCATATATGAGTTTCATTTTGGTCTGAGATCCCAAAATGAAAGCAGTTTTCATAAAGGTTTTCTGTTTTCGCTTTTCAATATTTCTTCTTTCTCCACTCTCTACACATATTCCAGCCGATTCATTCTTCGATCTCCTTTAGGTTACTATGTCCGGTATCTGAGATGTATCTATGCATCAACAAAAAACTGTATGTGAGGAATTTCCAACAAGACCGGAGAACAAAATATTTTTAATGAAAGTGTCTCTATATATCATCAGGTTCCTTTCAGTTTAGATTTGTTCAAATGTGCACACGTTTTAATGTTTCTATATGATTGTTATTTCAGCTGTTTGTATGTGACCGAGAAAATGAAAAGTTTATGCTTGTCTGGCTTTGATCATGTTTGCCCAGAGGCATCTTTCTTTTTGTTCACGCGGACAGTCAGTGAGTGAGTGAGTGAGTGAGTGGGTGTGTGTTTTGTCGTTACTATATATATGGATATTTACTTGTGTCTGATTTACATGTCTATGAGTGAATGTATTCGTTGAAAAATAAACAAATGTTTACATTATGTGAAAAAATATATTTAAAAATAAAATAAAATGGCAGGAAATGCATTTCCTTCTTACAGTTGAAAAAAAACTGAACCTTATTATTATTATTATTTATTATTATTATTATTACAGTTGTTATTTATTTATTTTGATTTGCTGTTTGATATAATCATTTATCAAGTCTTTTCCGCTGATACTTAAGGGAAATTAAGGTTTTTCTTAAAAATGTTAGTGTAGGTTTTTTTTCTGTGAGAGCAGTATTCTTTTACACAATTTTTTTGTATTTAAGATTTTTTTTAATGACTGTATTATTATTATTATTATTATTATTGTTGTTGTTGTTGTTGTTGTTGTTGCTGCTGCTGCTGTTGCTTTTATCTGTTCACGAGGAGTGCTCAAAAGTTATCGACTCTACTTGAAAGCCCTTACAAAAAAAAAAAAAAAAAAAAATTGGAGAGATTTTTTCGTTTCGGAGTGACTCTTGCTGACAACTTTTCAACACGATGCCTCAACGCCCCCACCCCGCCCTCATAATTTGCAACAAACGCTTATTTTCTCCATCTCAGCAAGGATCATTGTTTTCGATTATTTCTCTTAGATATGCGTATGTGTATATGTATTGTAAATACAGACAGACCGGCATGTGCGTATATGAGTATGTGTAAATAACAGATAAAGTGAATTTCCCAAAAAATAAGTGGAATATTCGACTGACACTAAGTTACTGTATTTATCAATTGAATTTTATTTTCTTTCTCTTTCGTCTTTTTGTTCATTTTTCTTTGGTTTTACATTCTGTCCTTTTCTTTTTTTTCCACGCTTACCGACATTTTTTTCTTCTTTGTTCTTTCTTCCATTAGGTCTTGTTTTCATTTTTTTTCTTTTTGTGTTTTTCTCGAGAGAGATATGAAATTAAACTAAATTCCAAATTCTCATTAACGTATTCAGGAAAGCTGTTCGGTAAGTGATCTTTCTTTCTTGATCAAGCTGGAACTAAAGAATAAATTAAATCTCAAAGCCATTTTTGCACCAGGTTTTTCGCACTTTATCAGTCTTCTATCATTTGTTATACAAGTTTATAATAATATAGTGCACTTATGTTGCAAAAATATGCCAATATTTTAGCTTGTACAAAAGAAAGAAGCTGAGATGTCGTCAATTTTTATCCAAGAATTCCATGAAATATTTATCATTCTATGTATTGACATCTTTTCACAGGTCGACCAAATCGAGAAAAGAACGAGGTAACAAAACGTTGCTTTAAGCATAATTTTCATCTTTGATTGAAACTGTTGAATGGTTATAAAGCCCCTGTGCCATCAAATGAAGAGCCAATGGATTTTTAACACCTGATGATTTCTTAATTTTGGCTCTTTTGTTCTGAAACCAGATTTTGATCTGCGCCTCGCTAAGACAGAGGTCACGAGCGAGTTTCTTTCGCCTCTCTTCAGTTAAATACCGACAATCATCGAATTCTTGCTTTAGACGCTGTAGTTGGTCGCTAGTGAACGAGGTTCGTGGACGCTTCTCATCAGCGGATCGATCACGTTTCTTGATCTTTCGAGATCGAGGGCCTGAAAAAAGAAAGAGAAAAAGAATCGTGATTATCAGGATATTATTGTCATCGGAAATGAACTGAAGAATATATGAGGGTGGATCAAAATACCTGTCATTTAATTACAACAGACTTAATAGCAGAAGCTCACGATGTATACCAAAACGAAATCAAAGGTCTCAGAATTCTAAATCTAGTACGTAACATAATTTCCTTCCTTCTCTGTCGGGGTATTCCATTTACGAATGAAAGCCTATATACCTGTCTCATGGAAGCGATTTGGCTGCTTTCTTAACCACCTTCAAATTGCTTCTTTCACTTCATCATTGGAGAATTAACAACCACCTGAATGTCATCCATGTTGCACAACTCCAAGTGCAGTTTGGTAGCAATTACCCTCTGCTTCATATGTCAGTATTTTGGAGATTGAATTACACACATTTTTCAGTAGCCAAAGAGACTGAAGTAAACTACAACCACTACCATGGCTCACCTGAAAGCTTTCATAGATTTTGCAATTGTGATTCTTCTGCTGGCTGTAATGAGAGCATCAGCCTGTTTGGGTTTAACCTCATTTATTGCAGCAGCTGACTTGCTACTGCGAAACCTCTCAGTAAGGTCAGTCTGTCTTTTCCATTTAGGACTGCTAATGACTCTACTGACATATCTCTGATGTGTTTACATCTAGTGCAACTTTTCCACAAGCGTTCACTAAAATTCAAATGGCTGTTTTCAGAATTTTCTAATTCTAAAAGCAGATATTCCATGACAGCTCTGTACAGAAGTACAGCCATTTTTTGAAAGATGCTTATGTGGAGTATGTAGAAGTTTACTCCACAAAGTCTTCCATGGGCTTTTATACTCTTTAATGTCTATAGTTTAAAAAAAGAAAATTCTATTAATATTTTTAAAATGAATTTAAAGTATGCATTACATTTTTACTAATTATCGTACCTATTTTTCTGTATGAACAAACACACGCACAAACACCCATTGATTCACTGTGAAGAAAACGAATCGCGTACTTTATATTTACTTTTAATTGCTTACATATATATATATGCGTGTGTGTGTATGTTTGTTTATGTATGTGTGTGTATATCTTACATACAAAAGTTGCTAAATTTCTATACTGGTTTAGATGGGCACTCATTTAGACCAATATGAATAATATCAAATCTTTCCAACTTCAAATATGCAACATATTAGTAGAAAAATATGTAATACATGCCACTAACTAAAAACGTCTAAAGAAATAACTCAACAATGTCAACTACGAACACGGTTATAATGTACTGGTTGTATTCGTGAATTAAACATAACTCATCTGCAACAACTAAAATCCTTGAAAATTGCTAATAAATTAGGCAAAAGTACTAGGACCGAACAATAATTATGACAATTTCAACAAACACTAAGTTAATGAAATCTCGTATTCAAACACCAGAAAATTACGATGATAAACTTAACAAATGTACCTTTTCAGTCATTTTAATGAAACATGTATTAGAGAGGGATTGTTGCCCAAATACACAATTATATATAGTTGCGTATTTGTGTGTGTGTGTGTGTGTGTGTGTGATAACGTTAAATCCTATGAAAGGGTGGGTCTAGTCGGAACCCGTTCATGCAGTCTTCAGACGAATTGACTTAATAATAATAATAATAATAATAATAATAATAATATATTTGTGTGTGTATGCATGTGTGTGTGTGTTCATGCGAACTGAATATTGAACTTTCAGCAGATGTGGCACTATCAACCATTATTTTTTTTTATCAGCTATTAGAAAAAAATAGAAATCTTTTTATCTTATTTTCTAGCAATCCGTTTGTTTACTGAAGAAAAAGTGATGATTACAAGTCTGAAAGACAATTTCTTCTCTATTTCCTTGTCGTTGTTTATTAACGACAATAGAATAACGTTCTATGCAGTTGCAATGAAAAATAACTAAAATTAATATGAAAGAGATACGAGTTATTTTTTATACTGAAGTTCACCCTACACAAGGCCCAAAAACCACTCGAGGTAGAGGGTTACACAGTAAGAGGCACAGTGGGAAACATAACGGTTGACCCTAAACTTGAACAGGTTAAGATTGTGGTACTCGGGGAAGCATCCTCTTCGAGTTTGGTTTTCGAGGCATTGAATTTGGCTAATCAGTTTCTTCCCCACTGAGCTGTTAGAGTTCGATCAGAGGAGAGATCAGCTGCCAATCTCTGGTCATTACGAGTTTGGGAGGTGTACTCAGATACCGTTGTATCGTCAGCATAGATATTCACAAATGATCAGAGTATACTATTAGACAAATTATTTATGTAAAGTAGAAAGAGTGTTGAACCTAGAAGCCAACTGACCGTTAACAACTACTTACAACTACAGAGGCCTACGCGTCAGGAGGGACTTTATAATTGAGATGACTCTTCCATAGCTAGAAAAAAATGTGCAGTAACCCTTTATAAGAATTTGGAAGACTGTAGCTGCAGGTCTGGAAAACAATATTCGTAGCATTAATGATAATAGTAGCATTAATTGTAATAGTAGAAGTAATTTGCATTTGAGGACCTTTCTATTTTTGATTTTTTTCTTCTTCTTATTAGTAGTAGTAGTAACAAGAAGAAGAGAAGGAAGTAGAAGAGAAGGAGGTGTGAGGAGGTAGAGGTGGGGGCAAAATTCAAATAAACAGCGAATGTTAAGTTTCAGAAAGACAGAACCAGATGGGAAGCCGTAAACAAATAAGAAAACAAAAGCGTTAAAAGAAAGAAAAGTATGAAAGAATCACTGAAAAAAAATAAGACAATGAAATTAGAACTTAACCACTCAACTCGATGCAAATTTATGTCGGTACCCGCAAAGATTCGCTAAAAAATTGAGCAGACATGATGAAAATTTTATCAAAATCTTTATGAAATAGGAAAGAACAAGGGATCTTTTTTATTATTAAATTATATTTTTAATCATTTTTAGAACCTTCGAAATCTTTGTTAAATTTTTTGTTTTTCTTGCGTCAAAATGAGTTCATAAATTTAAGCGTCTTTTTTGAGGTGAAAAACACATTGATTTGAAAATTCTTGCAAAATTCAGGTAATTGTCGGATTTTAATTAAACTTTCAGGGCTTCAAATGAATCAAATTATTTTCGAAACGTTTCTTTTTTAGAAAATCTTAGTAAAAACAATTTTTTACGTCTGTTAACCCTCACTTATTTAATTTTAAGAAATTTCGAGAAATTCTTTTTGTAGCACTTAATTATTAGTTATAAGTACAAGTCCTTGGAGAATTTCAATCATCATTTTTTTTTTTTTTTTTTTTTTTTGGTCAAACTTGACCCCAGTTACAGAAAATCTGCTCTGAATCGTAAAATTAAAAATGCGATAAAAATAAGCAATCATTTAATTAAAAAAAGCTTTTAATTACTTTTATGAATAAGATATATTATGAACACTACTGATTTAAGAAAAATCTTTCGATAAAAAATGAATTTTTAAAAGAATTGTTATCATTTTTTTTAAATATTAATTATAATAATTTATAAAGTTTTAAATCTTTTAAAATTCTGCATTCTGGTTTAGGTAATATTGTTATTAAGTAAAAACTATATTTACTAATCAGAAATGGAAAAGCTTACTACAATTTGGCGACACCAAGTATTTTAAAGAGAATTTTGAATTTTTTGTGTGTGCGTATAAACGTGCCAATTGTTGTAAATACGAATGTCTATACAGGACATTATCAAAAAATAAGATTGGTAAATATAGTAAATTTAAAATTTATTGGTAATTTTCTAAAATTTCCGTAACAAGCTTCTTTATAAGTAATTCAAACTACCTAAAATTCAATAAAATATGTCTTATTTTTAAAAAATTAATGTGTAGTTAAAAACGATATAAAAAAAGCCGTTCATGTTGTATTCGTCAAGTAATTTTTTTAGTTATTTACCCTTTACTTAAAAATGCCAAATATTAAGGTGCCGATACATCTATCAACACATCGTACACCTCTGTTTAAAAACTGCTTTTCTGCGATATATTAAACAAAAAGTAAGTAATATTTGTTTTAATTCAAATTAATTATATTTTAATCAGTTATTCTTCCTCAAATAAAGTTTTAGAAAAGTATATTTTATTTTTAAGAAAATGTTTGATAAAGAAAATTGTGTTGTTTTGACAGATTTGTCAATATTGCTGATTTTAGCGATTAAAAAAAATAATTCCAGCCAATTTAAATTCCGTTTGAACTACAAGAATGTATTTTGTTCATTGGAAATATTAAATTTAATCAGTTAGCTTAAAATTAAAACTAAAATAAATGCTACAATAAATATAGCTCATTTTTAAAATGCATTTTAAGTATCGGTTTTTTTTTCTTTCTTTCTTTTTTTGTGTCTGAAACAGCAGAATTTGTGAATAAAAGTGGATATTAATCTTTATTTTTCCGAAAAGGAATCATTTGGCTGTATGAATGGATGGAAAAGACCCAGTATTTGAATTAAGAAGCAAATTAATCACAGCAAACAACCACAGCGTTCTTTCATTCCTCTTCTCATCAACTGCACCAATTCATTCTGAAACACGTACACAAGTTGTCGTCGTCGCTGAATGGAAAAGAATACAATATAAAAATCTGATTGATATGTAGGTAGATTTTTTAAATAGTCTGTTTGCTTTTGTCGTGGATAAATAGTTTGCATTGTACAAATTGTAGTGAACATAACGAAACGATGTGACAAAAAGGTGAATGTTTGGTGATTAGGTGTATTTGTGAGGTTTTCTTTTGAAGTGGTCTTAGGTGTCAAGACGTTAGCCATGGGGCTTCAGCCATGTGTGACTTTACCGCGTGTTTAGATAGTTCAGATGTCAGACAGAAGATTCGGAGAAGGGTCACTGGGTTGGTTATTTTGAAGTCGTAATTATTTGATGACGTCTTCAAAGTGGGCAAAATGGCAATAAAATGAACATTATGGGTGGCTGTTTAGAGGAAGATCAGGTTAGGAAAAAAAAGAAAGAAGAAAGGAATGGAAAAAGAGATCGAGAAGAAAAGAGGTAAGAAAAAAGAAACAAATGTAAGAGCGTATATAAAAGAATGATTGAAACAAAATGAAAAGATTTTTTGTACAATAATAATAATAATAATAATAATAATAATGAAGAAGAAGAAAGCAACAATAATAACAACGACAACGACAATAACAAGCTATAGAATAAGAAACAATAGAAAAAATATAAAACCATTTAAATTAAGCAAATAGCAAAAACTTAAGAAATGGAAAAGAAGATTGAATGAGAGAAGATGGGAAACGCTGGAGGAAATGAGAAAAAAAACAATCTGAGAGAATTCATGTCGGAAACAGGCTAAGAAAAGAAAAGAAAGAAATTAGAATGAAGAAAATAATCTGAGAGAAGAAACATAAATGTGTCCGTGGAATTTCCTCAAACACATTTCTCTTTTTATTGATTTTTTTAATTTTATTTGTATTCTTTAGACAGGAATAAAAGTACAAGAGAATTTAAATTGGAATAAAGAAAAGAGAACAGTAAATGTAAATAAATAAATAAATATATATATATATATATATATATATATATATATATATATATATATATATATATAAAAAGACATTTTTTTATGTTTAACGTTCTTTTTTATAGATACAAGTATTTAAGTAAATGCTCTGTTTATAATAAACAGTATTAAATAGCATTTACCTATACGGAACCGTCATTTACGCTGACGTGCCTTAACCGTCTCGGCCACAAAGGAGCGTTCGGTAGGCAAGGTCGAATTTACTGCTTATAAACTTCAATCTTCCATGAATCTCGTACATTCATAACTGCTCTGGCGTATCAAATGTAAACAAATGACGTCATATATTAAGAAATGGACAAAGTCCGACAATTTATTTATTAAAGACATTTTTTTATGTTTAACGTTCTTTTTTATAGATACAAGTATTGAAGTAAATGCTCTGTTTATAATAAACAGTATTAAATAACAGGATGCAGGTTCGAATCCTGTCAAGGACGAATATTTTTCTTTGTCCATTTCTTAATATATATATATATATATATATATATATATATATAAATACACACACACACATATATATATATATATATATATATATATATATATATATATATATATATATATATATATATATAGTGGTGCAAGATGAGAAGAAATAAAAGTATCAACTTGAACGAAGAAAGAAAAAAGACAAACGAGGAAGGAAAGAAGCGAAATAAAGAAAAGGGTAAAATAGAAGTTTAAAGTTAGGAAGTTTCAAGACAGGAAAAATATGTCAAAACAAGCGAGATAGTGAACATAAGAAAGAAAGAAAGAAAGAAAGAAAGAAAGAAAGAAAGAAAGAAAGAAAAATTGTGTTGGGCATAACAAAGTTTAAAGAGAAAAATTATTACAAATCGGAAAGAGAAAGAAGATAAGAGGAATTTTCCAGAAATATGCATTTTTATTTATCTGCTTATTTCTAGTAATTCCTCTTTTTTTCTCCTAAGAGATTAGAGATCGAATGTTAACATTGTAAAGGATGGAAGGAAAATTTTGATAAAAGAAATTCCGCAGCAAGAAACAAAGAAGAGCAAATAAATAAAAAAGCAAAACTAATTGGAAATAAAATCATGTTATAAATAGGAATAAGGATAAATAAAGAGGGTCATTGATAGACAGAATTTCAAAATTCTATGAATTGTTGGCCGAAGTTAGTAGTTATTTATTGCGCTCAGTTTTCAAGTCTTGTATATAGTGAAGAACGGACTCACTACGGATGATTTGCTGAGCTAATCCTTCTCACCACGAGGAGGAGTCCTGTCGTAGGCGTTGCCGTCTTAATAATTTTTCAATAAGTCATCGTATATTATCAATGTCAAACTCGCAGTTTTTTACTTGCAACCAAATTCAAATTAAGTCAATGTAGAAGATTGCAAACTTCAGGCTTCAATTCCTGGTATTACATCCTGTAGAAAGTTTATGAAGAAAATCCATGCTTATGTGAAAGACGCATTTTGAAAATTAACACAGTTACTAATACTTAACAATTCCACATGAATCAACCTTCATTTCTACGCCCATTCTCTCCCCCCCCCGTATCTACCTTTCTCTCTCTCTCTTTTTCTTTCTCTCGCAATACCTAGTACGCATTGAAGACCGCCATTATGGGTGTGATAACACATATGAAGAAGAACCGCCTAATCTGTGTATACAGTCGCTTCGGATGCTGCATCAAGGCCGTACTCTGAGCTGAGGCCGCTTTTATTGAATAATCTTTTTTTATGTTTCGGTTTGCAGTAGTTGACTGGACCAGTGGAATCCTGGGAATTTCCCACTTTTCTTTGGTTTCCCCCATAATTTTAATATTACAGAACTTTTTTTTTTATAATTTTGTTTGGTTTATGCAGTTACCTCCCACCCCTACAAAAAACTATGCCTAAAGTTGAAAAATCTTTCTTGAAGCTTTTATTTTAGCTTTAATTCAGAGCTAATTAAATTACCCAATAAGCAAAATACTTTACTGCATTTTAAACCGAATTTAAATTGATTGTTTTTTTTTTCTTTTCCTTATCAGTAAAATCTATAAATTCATCCATATTGACAGATCTGACAAAACAACTCTCTTTATTAAAAAAAAATTTTCAAAAATAAAATATACTCTTTTGGAATCTTATTTGAGCTGATTTAAAGTTGAATTAATCTGAATTTAAACGAATATTAATTAATTTTTAATTTAAAATAGCGCAGAAAAGCAATTTTAACACAGAAGTATGTGTTTTTTGGCGCATTAACGAATACAACGTGAACGTTTGCACACACACACACACACACACACACACACACACACACACACACACACATATATATATATATATATATATATATAAACTACCCAGTTATCTTTAAAATTTGAGAAAATATTCTAAGTAATCTTATATTTACGTATTTTGGCTTTCTTACGAAGACGCTTGTTAAGAAAATGATGAGAAAATTTTAAATTCATTATTGTTAAATCTTATTTTCTGATAATGTTGTGTATGGACGCCCGTATTTACAAAAATCAACACGTTTATAGATGAACAAAATAATGCAAAACTATATATATACTCGAGTCTATACTCGAGTATATATATGTATACTTGCATATAGTATATATACTATATGCAAGTTTTTATGATCAATTTTTTGCACAAAAAAATAGGTGATCACACTATTTACAGGTAATTTTTTTCGAAGAGGTTAAAAATTATGCATTTTTGGTGACTGGTAACTGTATCTAAATCTTTGTTTCAGATGTTTTATGTTAAGTGGTTTTTCTCACCATCTTTGTACAAAAAAAAAAAAAGAATGAAGACCATTTATTTACTATACAATATGTCCAGGATGATGCCCAGTATTGCAATATTTGACGATGATAGGCCTACGAGTATTGTTCAGAAGCTGGTTAGGTTGCATTATAGACGAGCTATATGAAAACTCAGGTTTTTCACAAAAACATTCAGGAGTCGCACTATATATGAAATCGGCTTATACACGAGGATATACGGTACTGGGTTTCGTTGAATTGTAGTGAGCTTTACTATTTATCATTAGTAAATACATATATGATTTAATAACTGTCACCTGACAGCTACAAATTAATACAGAATTTTAAAAGTTTTAAAAGTTTATAAATTAGTTTAATTTAGGTACCTCCACTTTTTCGCCATAAATTTTCGATACCTAAGGATTAAAATGAGTTTTTAAAAATGAAAAAGCATTCTTAAAGATTTCATTTTAGCTTTAATTGAAAGCTACAGAATTAAATTTATTATTTCCAGTAAGTAAAATATTCTGGTGTATTTCAAATAGAAATTATATAGATTGGAATGTCAAATTTAATTTTGATTTTTTAAAATTTTCTTAAAAGCGGACAATTTCTTAATTTTAAGAAATTTGTAAACAAAACAAAGTTATCAATTTTAAAACTTTACCAAAATATATTTATATATATATATATTTATATATATATATATATATATATATATATATATATATATATATATATATATATATATATATATATATATATATATATTTCTGACATTATTTGAGTAAAATTATAAAATTTAAAGTTAAATTTATCTGATTTTAAATAAATATTACTTACTTATAACATTAAAAAGTAATATACAACCATTTGTATATTATAAATTTCGGCTGTGTTTATCTGAAACGATGATTTATGGGCAGTTGAGTGACGAAGTGATGACAGCTAGTTTGGCTGACTAGAATTGACATAAAATTTACGAAATCTAAGCGAACGCATTTTGTGGGGGGTTAAATACCTAGTAATTTTTACAAATGAACACATTTTTCGCAATTATCTAATAATTTACTGACTTTTATTTATCTTTCGAAGATGCTTTATGAAAAAATTTAAAAAATTTAAAATACTAAAAACTTTTCTTAAATTAATTTCTCTGTAAAGAGACAAAACTTAGATTACGGGATATTTTCATAATAATGTCACGTTTAGCCTTTCATAGATAGAAAAAATTGAACAAAAAAAAAAGATAAATTATTTTTAAAGTAGAATAGTGTAATTATGGTTATTAATCTTTTCAATTTTGGATTCGTAAATTTCGTTACCACTTAATTACTATATCACATCCAAGAAATAGTCCAAATACAGAATTTTACACGATTTTAAACTATTATAAATTATTATAATTAAAATATGTTTAAAAATTGAAAAAATTCTTGTAAAAATTCATTATTCAGCGGAAAGATTTTATTCTTTCAGACAATAGTGTCCAATTCAGAGCAGATTTTCAGTTAGTGCAAGTTTGAAAAATAAATTAGGCGATTTACATTCTTCAATGTGTTCTACTTTTAACGAATAATAAAAAGTCATGAAATAGGTTTTTTTGTTGTAAGGGGGGGGTAACGTAAAAAAAAAATTTTAACCAAAATTTTCTAAAAAAATTTCAAAAATAGTTTCATTCATTTGTGAATATGTCCTGAAAAATTCATTAAAATCGGACAATTATTTGATTTTTACAAGAATTTCCGAATCAATGTATTTTCAACGGAAAAAAGCGCAAAAAAGTCAATGTAATTATTATATTACATTGACTATTTTGCGCTTTTTTCCGTTTAAAATACATTGATTCGGAAATAATTGTCCGATTTTAATGAAATTTTCAGGACTTATTCACAAATGAATGAAACTATTTTTGAAATTTCACAAAATTTCGAATGTGTTAGAAAGGATTAAAATAATTTCAAAACATAATTTAAAAATACTTTGGTCTTTCATCTTAATAATAACATAAACATTTTGACGATAAAACTTTATTTTTATTAAGTTTGTGTTCTTTTTCATTACGCTATGCTGTTTTCCGTGAAAAAGTGGAGGTACCTACTAATTAAAATCATTAAAAACAAAAACAACTTGCAAAATTCATTATTCATTGATTAGGACAATATTTTCTATAATATATCTTATTCGTAAAGACAATTAAAAGCTTTTCTAATTAAATAATGTATTAGTTTTATTTCATTTTTTTATTTTACAATTCAAAGCATATATTCTGTAACTGCGGATTCTGTATGACTCACAGAATTTAATGACTTAAATTCTCCAAGAACTTGTCTTTATAACAAATGTAAACATTAAGTGATACAAAAAAGAATTTCTCATAATCTCATAAAAAAAGTAAATTAGGGTGGGGTTCAGATGTAAAAATAACATCGTTTCAAAATTAATTTCATTCGAAAATTCTAAATAAGTCCTGAAAGTCTCATTAAAATCTGAAATTATCTGATTTTTGAAAGAATTTCCAAATCAGCGTGTTTTTCATCGCAAGAAACGCTCAAATTTCTTATATAAATTAAAAATCTCCTGTTGACGCAAAAAATAAAAGAAAACAAGATTTTTAACCAAAGTTTTCACGGTTCTAAATACGAATAAAAATAACTTTTACATAAAAATGTCTTCTCTTAATAATCAAACGAATACTTTGACGATAAAATTTGCTTTTTATTATATTTCATTGTGTATTCTCTTTTTTGTCGAATTTTTGGAGCTACTTAGGTTTATGAGATATGAAGTTTCGCTGGTCGTTACAAAGTACTGTTGGCTCTGGATGCTACAACAGCTGTTAACGGAGTCTGAAATCTCGTGAAAGCAGGGAAGCCGTTCTTATTCGCAGTATTTCTGCAGTTTTTTTTCTTTTTAATATAATCTGTTCAGATTTAGGTCCATAACGGTATTTGTTAGCATCCAACGCGGCTCCCCAACCAGTAGAGTTGTACAAACTGGAGCGGCGACAATGTTAATCAAATTCGGAACACGTGATGCATGTTTTTAAACTTGAAGACACATGAGGCTCGTGTCAAAAAACCAAATTAAAACAAGAATGATTTTGATTAACTCCCTTAACTCTCTTCTTCTTCCGACACGATTGCGAAGCAT